CCCCCCCCCCCCCCCCCGCCGGGCGCCGCCTCGAACGGGCTACGTACGTGTACAACGTTCGAACGCGGTGCAGGAGACAAAATCTTCCCTCTCCCGGCGTTCCCACCCATGCAGTTGTTGATCCCAGAACTGGGAAACACATCTTCGCCCGGACGGCACGAGAGGTGAAGACCACCGAGAGCCCCCAAAAGGCTTCAACCCCGAGTCCGGTCCCTTCCTTGGACAAATCGGACCAGAGGTCGGTCAAGGCGCTTGCTGCCCACGCGATGAACACCGGGATACACACGGCGCAAATGTCCATCGGGAGCAGCGAAACGGCTAAGTCTGCCTCACGCGGCTTCAAGAAAGTCAAGAAAACCGCGATGTTGACTCTCAGGATCGGCGAATACGTCGTCAAGACGCAGGTGAAGAAAGGGAAAGCAGCGCAAAAAATGCGTAGCTATTCGCGTCTCAACCGCACCCCCTCCCATCCCTTGTTTCTGCTCTCCCGAGAAAATCAGAGCGAACCCACCCAGGCATCGAGGCTGCTGCTACGGATCGAATCCTCAGGCTACAACTCCTCTCCACTGCATGTTTTGCACGAATCAATGTCGTCCGTCGATGTTGTTGTTACACCGCTGTCTTTCATTAAGCAGGCCCCGAAGCATACAAAATGTAGGTGTTTTCTTAGGGCAACCGACCAATGGAGGGAAAATTCGAAGCCCAAAGGCCGTTTGTACCGTTCCTGGATGCCGCCTTCTTCAGTAGGTGGTCGCGCCGGTCGTTACGAAGGTCGTTCAGAAATGGAAGCGCTTCAACCGTTTCAGAGACCGCCGCCAGGCGGAGCGTAGGAACAAGACCTTGGACTGGTTCGAGGATCGCGTGGCAACCATGAGACGGGAGGAAGAAAAGTGAGAAACTATCGAGAGATTAATTACATGTGTGGTGAAATACGCATACTGGTTCGAGGATCGCGTGGCAACCATGAGATGGGAAGAAGAAAAGTAAGAAATTATCGAGAGGCTAGCTATATGAGTGATGAATAAGCTTGCTTCGCGGCAGATGGCTGGAGCATGAAATGACATGTAGCATTGTCGCACGGTCAGGCGGTGGGTGCGTGTCCCACGACTAAAATCACAGCCGCCGCCGTGTGCAGGTCGTGAAGTGATTCAAAGCAGAAATTAATGGTTTTCGTCGGCCGTGTTCTTCTGGTCGGTTGTCCCCATGGCGTCGAAGGGGTCGGCGTTTGTCGTCGGCACCGGGGCAGCAGAAGAAAGCAATGCACCCGAGCAAGAATTGTAGCGGGGAGGTGGAAGGCACCACAAACGTTTGCCACGGAGGGATGTCGTGATACTCGATAGAAGACCTAACCTGCTACTACTAGGCCGCTGAGTCAGCCGCTGCCTGGCAGCAGCAAGGTCAAGGGCGGAAAAGGACAAGATGACCAGCCCTTATCACGTTCCGACTCGCGGGAGCAAGCCCAAGGCCTCGCCTTGCGGAGGGTTTGAATCTCCGCCTACATCTGATTATGCCAATATACCTTCTGTCAGTAGCACACTTGTCTGTGCTACTTGCCAGTCAGTTGCTCTCTATCTTCTTTGCCACTCATAGCGCGTTTTCCCCCTGAACTATCAGCCTGCGGCTGGCTACACCTTTGGCAATGTATGGTTGGGAGGTAGCCGTTTCTCACGCGGCGGAATCGATCGTTTGCTGATGTTTCGCGACTGCTCCTGTTTGTCGCGAATAGCATGAGGCAGCGAAAGCAGGAACAACGACGAACCAAGCGGCGCGCCCAACTCCAGCAAGAACGCTCCCGAACTCAGCGAGAGGACTTCCTGAACGAGGTGAGCCCACGCATCGGTAATACACAGCTGTACCATAATTTCCATGTGCAGGGGTTGGTCGGAAGCTGAGTGTGTTTAGTCGAACGGACGTGGTATCCTCCAGCAAGCTATCAGGTTTTACTCGAGTTCCTTGCTTGCCGCACCGCCCGCCACTTAATTCGTCTCCGAACGACGCAGTCCAAGGACATTTTCCAGAAAAGGGCAGTTGCACTAGTGCAAAGTCGTCGGGACGCACAATACCAAACCTCACGGAAGATACGAGCGAGATCGGGACGCGGTTCCACCCCAAACAACACGGGAATTTCCTTGTAATCTTGGATTCAACAGCAGTGGGGACACAAACAGTGCGTCCCCGCATTGGGAATAGTCTTGCTACAAGAGGTAGTAGCACTTGGCTCTCGACTACTCACCAACGCCGCTGGAAGCAAGCGCGAAGTTTAAAAGGACAGCCAGCCCGTTTAGCCCGCCCATTGGAACATACCGACAACCTCATCGCTTTCGTGTGATGCTTTTTTGCCGGGACTCTGTTTTCTGCGTCGAGGTGCCGCGATGACTACGGATGGATCAACGCGGAAAGAGGTTACCCCGGTTGAGAGTCTCGTGCTGGTCGCAGCACAAAGACGTCATGAATCCTAACCTTGTACACGAGTTCGTGCACGACGACGTTCACAACGGTAAACCCCAAACAAAAAACGAGCGACCAATCGATTGACACCACGCAGACGCGAGCGGAGTTCAAGCACCAGGCCGATCTGAGGCTGACGACTTCCCTCGAGAAGGAAAGAGTGCGGGACTACTTCCTCGACAACAACGACGGCTGGCAGATGCAGGCGCTCACGAGACACGTGCAGGAGGACGAGGACCGCGAGCGGCAGCGAAAGCGGGATGCGGAGGCCGAGAAAGTTCGCCAGGGGGACGCAAACCGGCAAGGTGGTTTGCCATGGCGGACGGAGCTTGTCTCTTTCTGCTTTTCTTTCCTCCGTCGGCTCGTAGAACCACCCTTTCGCAACCTCTCATACGCAAGGTCGCTGCTGTATTTGTCCCCCAAACTCGAGGTGGAAGCTCAGAAGAAACGACCTGCCCCGTTGGAGTCGAGAGGAGGGGGGCACGAAATCAAATAGGGGCGAGAAAGCGTTTCGCACGCGTTCGTTGTCGATTGGGTGTTTTTTCTCCAGGTGTTGGGCAGTCTAGGCCGCTATCCCACGTTTTCGACGCAGACGAGACGCTTTCAGAGATGTCATGAGACCTTTCTTTTTTGTGTCCCGGCTTGGCACGGTTCGTATTTCAGCGCGCCGCAAATGCACTCTGCCTACCCTGTACCTGCCAATGTTTCTACATTCTGCAGTGCACCTCTCCCTATGTCCACCACTCGACTTCTCGCGCACTTTGGCTTTTTACCGTTTCACCTGGTATACCTTACTTCGTGCATTAATCTCGCCCCGCTCACTTACCGCGATATACGCGCGACCAAATCCCGCGATCTAGCTGCTGCTGACGAGTACCTTGCCGAGTACGACCGGGGAGAGGTGATCACCCAGGCCACGCTCCGGATCATGCGGCGGGCGGGCATCGTCGCGGGGGTCAACGCGCCCCCCGCCGAGATCAAGGAAGAGCCTCTCGAGACGGACACGTACCTCCTTCTTCGGCTCAAACCACCGGCG